AGCATACTTACTGGATGTCTTAACCATAAATAGTAGTTGATCATTACTCTAACTTTTCCTACTTAAGGTTATTGGATGTTTTATGAACCAAGGTGTCCTCTTTTGTGGATCTTTGTTTTGTACTATTTTGCTAAAAGTTGAATAAAATATAAAAGAAAAACAACAAAACAGTTAGATAGCTTTGCAATTTGTATATTGTTGGGGGATTTCCCTTCACATTCTGTCAAAAAGACACAAGGAAGGGAGGAAAAAATCTCTCTACAGTAGTTAATGGGTACAGTAGTATGATTGGGGAAATCATCTTTTAGACAGTTGTCCCTAGTATAGGTATCCACACTGGAAGATTTTCTATCTCTTCCTGTTCCTGGTGACAACTGCAACATAGTACATTTCTTTTCACTTTCTGTCCTGGTGACAGAGCTGGATTTACTCTCTCTGCTGCCCAAGGCCAGGTTACTCAATGTGCCCCCCCCCTCCCTGCCAAACCCCCCCTATAGAGAATGGCAACCAGATGGAGGGGGTGGCAGGGTCGGTTTTAATTTTTTTTTTTACTTATCACTTTTTTATTTCTTTTATATATTTTTTTACTTGTTAAAATGTATTACTTTTTTCTTTTATTATTTTTTTTACTTTTTAAAAAAAACATTTTTTTCTTTTTCTATTTCTTCTTATTTTTTACTTTTTTAATTTTCATTTCTTTTACCATTTTTTTCACTTAACTTTATTGCTATCACACAGGAGCTAACAAGCTCCTGTGTGATGGCATTTGGAGGGGACAGGTTCTCTTTATTGAACTTGTCACCTCCAATACAGGAGTTTGACCAAGGCATGTGCTGGCTCTCCTGTGACAACTGAGATGGGAAGTCTGAGAGTGCAACTCTCCCATCCCAGTGTTTACATGGAGCAGAGCGGAGAACGGACACTCTCCGCTCTGCTGCCGCTCTCCATCCTGAACTACCTTGCCATGGTCACTGGACCCCCAAAAGAGCGGGGGACCCCAAAAACCATGGCGCGGAAGAAGGTAGCCAGCAGGAACAGAGGCAGCTGGAGGTGGGGGTGGACCATGGAGGGAGGGCAGAGGCTTATTACAGGTGTTATCGGCGGCATCGCCGGGATCACTTGTACTAAACGAGTGCTGGCTTCCCAGCTCTACATTTAACCCTGCTTGCATGAAGCAAGGCAAAATGTAGAAAAAAAAACTACCCGCCCTGCGGCTGTGCCGCCCCTCTTCTCCCTGCCGCCCAGAGGCCAGGCCTCGGTGACCTTGTGGGGAATCCGGCCCTGCCTGGTGACAGTGGTCACCAGGACAAATAGAGAGAGGCTACATTTCCCCAGTAGGGGCATAGACAGCAATACAAACCTAACATGTTATAATACTTCCTTGCTATATCCAGAAATTTTTTTGGATTTAGCTATACTTTAAATGATGTACATTACATTAAAAACAACATATCTGCTATTCAATATTTATTTATACTCTGAAATACAGACCAATCGTCAGCCAAGAGAAAACGCAAAGCAAAAAAAATTCTAAAATAAGTATTACACAGGTTGAAATGATACATTGTTACATAAAAAAAGAGGAACTTTCCATTCTTTTGGGTAAGAGGGAGTCTGGGCATGTCTACCTTTTGCAGCAAAAAAAACACTGTCGAATACTTGGAAGCAATTTGGTAAATTCAAGTGATGATCAAGCCTTGTTAAAGGTTCACATTGGCAAGATAGATCACACACTACTTTATAAACACTTCAGTCCAGTTGCAGATTGGGCAGTTTTTAGAGACTATCCCTCCTTCTGGTGGCACATAGAGGTCTTACCTCCAAAATTTTGCAATGACTTACACAACATGTAAATACATAGAATGCAGTGATAGTTTGCTCAAGTGTTAATGGGCATTGCAGGTTCTTTTGCTGTTTTATGGAACTTGTGTGGCCAGGAGTCTTATTAAAGTGGACCTTCACTCTGATCTTTAAAATAACAAAGACACCTTTAGTAATGTTTAGTAATTCAAATCTACAAACACATACTTCTAGATAATTGCAGGCTTTGTATTCTCCATACACGCCGATACAGGAAGTCCCATTAAGAAAGCCGGGCGGCTTGCAATGTCTCAACGCCCAGCTTCCTGATTAGCCAGGAAGCCAGGCAGCGTATAATGATTCGCTACCTGGCTTCCTGGTTATCTGGAAAGCCGCCTCCATGCTCCCTCATCACCAGGTGATGAGGAAGCATAGAGCCGGCTTTCTGGGCAATCAGGAAGCCCGGGGACAGGTAGTGACTAGCTGCCCGACTTCCTGATTCGCCAGCTTCCCGACCAATCAGGCAGCTGGTTGGCGAGTCATTACACGATGCCTGGCTTCCTGATTGGCCGGGAAGCGGACTTCGTGCTACCTTGTCAACAAGTGATGCTGATACGTATAAGTATCGGAGCATTTGGGCGAGTACGAGTACTCAACCAAATACTCGGTATCAGCACCAATACTAGTATCGGTGCATTCCACACTATTTGCATATATTATTTCTGTTTTCTTCCCCAGCCTTATTGCAGTGGTCATGTTTACTAAGGGCAGATTACTAGCTCTCCTTTTACTTCTTGGATTTCTGGCACATGTGACTAGACATGTGACTAGGACATGTGACCATGCACATCATCTCAGGGGAGGAAAATGTTTTTCTCTGAGATCTCATGAGATTACAGATGAGATTTCCCAGCAATGCTTTGCTGATGACAAGATAATCCCACTGTGCATTGCTTTGGCAAACTAGTCATTTTGCCCTTTCAAAGCAGGAAGTAAATGCTCTGCAAGAGTAAGCATTTCAAAATCACAGCATTTTACACCTGACATGTCTATGTTATTATTAATCATCATACATAGAGGGATGCCTTGGTAGAATCAGATTTTTGAGTGTAAAGGTCTATTTTAATGTAGCATGCACACAAAGGGGTTTCATCCCTGGGTCTGGGTCTTTAAACTTTCCAATATTTAGATCTTATCTCACACCGGCACAATGCCCCTGTTGTATTATTCATTAAAGACGTAGTGAATGATATTTTTTTTTCATCTGTAACATTCCTTACCTCTAACCAATATGCCTCAACTTTTTGCTCTGCAGCCCTTATTCAGACACTACATTTTTGTTACATCATGCTTTCTGTACTTGAGAGGCAGCATGGAAGCTGCAAAATATGTTCCTGCATCGCCAGCGGGTACGTTTCAGGATTTCCAGGTTGCACACAAAAGGGAGTTGTGCACTATAGCAATGCCTGAATGATAAACTAACATTCTGAGTGGGTAGGCTGTGCTTACTTACTGTATGCATTATTAATTTTGACTGGTGTGTACTGTTAAAGACACACTGTCACTTTGCCTATTCACGGTCTAGAGCCTTGACTTCCCTTTAGTATAAAGTGAATGGAATACTGCCCAATATAATAATTTTAGGAGATGCCCAGACCAAATGTTTTGAACTGCAAACTCATCCAATGGGACCCAAACTCATTACCACAAAAGGATTTTTTTTATGTTTTGCTTTTTGTGCCAAACAGTGAAGCAAAAATCAAAGAGCAGAAATGGGTAAATAGATACTCACACATCATAAAAGGTATATAGGTAAAGCAGATTTTTAACACACTCAGACTGTGAAGACTGACAAGAGACTTGCCAAGCTACATATAAGCTAAGCCAACAGTGCTCAACTGGTAGACTTCCAGTAATCTTTAGCTGGCCCGGCAGACATTGTAAACAAGTAATTGGTTTAAATAATGAAGATTCTCCTTTCAATTAGACATTTCAGATACACGTTAAGGGGGAGAATAAGATTTGAATTTGCAGGATCACTAGGCATATTAGTGCTTCCATTCCTGGCAGTGCCAGTGCTATTTGGTAATTTAAGGGCTCTGTATTGCCATTAAGGAACCCTATTGTTAATGGTGTAAACATTAAAATGTGTTGTTATGATTATAATGTTTGTCCTGAACTCATATTGTTGGCTTTATTTACTCATTGTCACCGACCCATTTTATGTTACAATGCTGTGCTAGCATTTCTTAATTGAATTTTGTTAATTTCTATGTATTCTCTGTATTTTATGAGAATACTGAGTAAACATTTAATACAACTTTGTAAAATATGACGTTAGGGATCAATACACTGCAGCTAAATCCCCAGCAGCCATGCTTCCAATATCTTCTTGCTAGATGGCCTCTATGTATGTGATTATGTCTGCCAGAGCTCTTTTTAATTACTATAAATAATTATTCACCATTTCCTCGCTGCCAAGCAAAATCATCTGGTTATATGAAGTTATAACTGCTAGATTTTATGCACTACCTTCTGTTTCTGTAAGAAAATATTTTAAAATGCTTAATTTCTTCACCTAAACTGCCTATATTTTGCAAAGCATCATAAAATTAAACATGATAGAAAAAGCAATGCATATTAACGGTATAAAATCAAGGAGAGGTTGGAGGATGGAGACTCTATGCCTAGTAACTGGTGAGTGGCATGGTCCCAGTCCCTGCCCAAACCCAGTCGGCTGCAGATGCCTGAGTACTGTTTGTCAGTTTTCACTGCCCACTTGATAGCTTTTTCAATAGCTGGGTATGATTCACTGTAAAGAGATAAAAGACAGGCGTTAATAATAAATGCCAGGGCTGATAACCTTATATCATATACTCTAGCAATATCTTTAAAATAACAACAGACACACCTTTAGAGATGTTTAGTAATGACAATCTACAAACAGATACTTCTAGATAATTGCCGGCTTTGTATTATTTGCATACTTTAGGCATGTTCAGTTCCTTAGCCAAGCACTGAGTAGCTGTTCTGCAGAACTTCAGTTCCCTGTAGCAGCTTTACTGAACACTTCCGCTCCACGGTGCTAAGCAAAAAGGTGGAGGATAATATTTTTTACTAATAAATACCATTTTCCAAAGAATATTTGGTGTGCTTGTCCACCAAAACATTAACAGGCTTATTCACAAAAGGGTGAGGAGTTTGGAGAAGGCAGGAGAAGTGAACAATCTAGGACAACATAGCTGAACCGGAAAGTGAGCTGAATTGGAGAATTTTTCCAAATCATCTATTTTGACCTAGATTGTTCAATTCTCCTGCCTTCTCCAAACTCTTCATGCTTTTGTGAACAGCCCTGGTAATTGTAGGTTCCCACACTGAATTGACTTCCTCCATCGGGGTTCAGGCACCTTTCTCCAGTGCTTTCAGGTGTGCCCACAGTTAAAGTGGCTGCTGATGCTCTCTCCCCACTCAGCGCTCTGCATGCACATTCACTTCCGCTGCAAGTTGGGTCTCCACCCGTCTGGTTTTCACCAGGACAGTCCGGTTTTGGAGTCTTGTGTCCGGGTGTCCAGCCAGCGGGCACCCGGACACAAGACACTCAGTGCCGATACCGGCACTTTACATTTTCTGGCAGATGTGGCTGCCGAGGTCCTCGGCAAGCGCAATCTCAGGCAGCCGCATTGGCCTAAAACTGGATCTTCCTCTGAGCCAAGGGCAGCCTGTGCCTGTTCACAGGCGCCCACTGCGTGATTGGTCCTCCAGCTCCCTGACACCATGCTGCCTGCCTGTGGACCCCTGGTGAGACACTATAGCCCAGGCAGCCCTGAGAGTCGCACATCCCACCTGAGAGCCCACAAGGCCACCAGGAGACATCATTACTCAATTCAAATGAGTGCACACCCTGCATCTAAAATTAGAATGCCACCAGACTTTTTTTTAACCTTACCTTAATCTTCAAGTAAAACTGTTCCACCTCTAATTGCACTTCCCCAGGATCCAAATCCCAATGGAAATCAAAAAGAGTAGAAACTGCAATAGTGTATCAGTGAAACTTACAATCAAGTAAAACCACTCACATGAAGTGCATGCAATTGAGCACCATGTATAAAGCATACAGAGCAGAGGGCAATTAGAGCTGGTAGAGCTCAACGGGAAGAGTACTGCCATGGATGTCCTACAATGTGCTATTTGCCTTTCCTTAAACATAGTGTTGTTTCAGTTTTAGGTGGACGGTGTGCACTCACTTAAATGGAGTAATATTTAGAGGAGTTTATTATTAAAGATTTTTTGGATACAAGAAAGATGCAAATGTTTCTTTGGCTTATTTATGCAACACCTGTTACTCATTTTTGAACTGGTAGTGGGAAGTACTGGGCTTGTTTTCATTTAAAGCACTACATTAATTATTTATCTTTCAAACATTCTAGTGCAGTTTATTGCAGTAAGGTAGAATATTATTTCCTTACGGTTTTAGTGCATTTATGTTAGCCAGGATGGGAAAAGGAAATATGCAAACATTATCAGTATATAATAACCCCCCACTCCAATCCCTCTTACTTCTCCATGACTTGGCATAAGAACAAGTAGGTGGAATGCGAGGAACAAGGTAGGAATTCTATGACAAGTGTTTGTGTGCGCGCGCATGTGCTGACACTATTGCAAGTTTCTCTATTGGCAGTCCTTGATTTACAAATTGGTATATTTTTTATCACTGAACATTTCTGTCCCTAATATCTTAGGTTTTTTAAAAATTATTATTAATGACCAGTGACTAATTGCTCAATTTAAAAAACCTTGTTCGCTGTTAAATATGTTGCCCATAAACGCATTCACTTTTTTTGTAAAGAAAGCATGTAAAGCTACACTTTCCATTTTTTGTTTTTAACAAAATAAAATATTTAAAACAATTCTCCATTGATTTTCACATTCAATAAAAATTCCCTCTCTGATTAGAGCTGCCCTAGACTTCCAACAGCCCTCCTATGGACAACAGAGCAGAGGAAGCTTGACCCCAACAAGATAACCCCCACAGTTATTTAAGAAACGCCTACATAGAATGTCTCTTCATATGAACAGTACACAGGAATAAAGGCAGGAAAGGAGTCTCTTGGAATAATCATATGGAGATACTAGGAATGAAGGAGTCCAAAGGAGATCCTAGAATCAGCAATACAGTTATAACAGCAGGTCACAAGGATCCCATGGAAGCAAGGTGCAATCATCAGGAGACACAGGATGTACAGCAGCTAGTGTACTGTCACATTGCTCCAATATCGAGCCACAGGTGCCCTTTAAGATGATGAGAGCTGGCAGGCTGCAGGGCTTGGGACCTATAATTGGCTAGAAGCTGAGCACCTCAGCTTCTGTTCAAGTTGGTGCACAGCCGCATCCCGTCATAGAGATGTACAGCCAGCTGCACATGGCTACATGCAGCAGCTGTCCCTCTTGGGCGCACAGCTGTGCACGTCCGTGCAAATGAGGCCTAAAATGTACATTTTAAGATTTTGCAAAAAATGAAAAAAATTGCTCTGGTACTGAAGTGGTTAAGCAGGCTTTACATTTTGGTGTGTTTATTTTATTCCATAGCCAATGGCTCCCTACAACCACACATTTGAATGTTGCAGTCCCTCCCGCCCATGGGCGGGGGAGGTAGTGTGGCGATGGCTCCCTACAACCAATCAGGTCTTGCTAAGCACATGACGAAACATATGAGTGCTCACCACACATCTGCAGGTTAGTTTGGATGTAACCATGACATTCATTTATCAGAAGACTATGGCTTTATTACATTCAATCATTATTGTCTTCTGGGAAATCTTCACTATGTCATGTTTGGTGTATTGATGATATGCTTTTATTCATGTTATGGCAATGATATACACAGTGTTCTTGTGGTAAATTACAACGTTATTTAATGGTTTCTGGTGGGAACATGATGTCAGTGATGTCAGGGGGTTGGTGGGAGTGGTTTTCTGTTCATTTGCACTGTTGGTTTGGCTATATAAGATCGTTTTTTCTTTAGCTGTATTGTCATTTCAAGCCTGATGAAGGGGACCCTGTGTGGCCCCGAAACGTTGCTATTTGTTTTGGCATGAAGCGTCAATAAACAGACATGCTCTTCACTTCAATATGTTGTGCGGGTGACATCTTTAACAAGTGTCAGTATTAGCGGCGCCATCTGCGGTCACTTCGAGCACCCACACTGACAGGGATACCCGGTAAGGAGTGCAGCAGGATTCTGGAATACATAGGCTCCTTAAACAACCCCAAGCGAAAGCATTTTCACTTACGTGCATTACGTCGTGCATTTTTATGAGCAGATTGTGACACACTGATGTAAATGGCCAAAATGTGCGCGAAAACAATTGCAACGCGCATTTCCAAGCGTTTCCTATTGACTCTATGGGGACAAAATGAGCTGTAATCTGCCAAAAAGAAGCTCAGGTACTTTTTCCAGTAACAGGCCTTTTGCTTATTGCGACAAAACGCACAGGTGTGAACAGTGGCCATAAGAATGAATGGGATTTTTTTGTGAAGCATTTTGTTGCACTTATTCAGCTGCGACAATGCGACAAGGATGATTTGTGTTGTTATGTAATGTTATGTAATGAAGTTAAATTAAACAACAAATAACACAGAGCACAATGGGCAAACATTCTACGTAATCATTGAGGTTTACCTTTTCTTACCAAGTCAAACCTGCTTAGCTCTGTTGTCCCTAGTTGTCCACAAATAATAATAATAAAAAAAAAAAAATACCTAAAACAGGAAAATCTGATAAGGACACTGAATCACAGCAAGGCAATGGAACAGGAGGAACCTTTGTGCTCTAAAGCAGGGTATACACGGTTAGAATATACTGTAGTGCAAAAGAAGTTGTTTTTGGAATGTTTGTTCAAATATCTATCAATAAGTATGGTGCAATCGACAGAGGAAAACAACAATGTTCCTGAAAATTTTCGAAGGAGCATGCTGGAACATTTTTCTCGATCAAACAAATGTCTAACCGTCAATTTCACTCCAAAATAGAATGTTAAATAAAAGTGAAAATTAAACCAAATTCGAACGACAACCAGAAAGTTTCTGATGCCAGTACCGAACATTCCGACAGTATTTTTTGTTCGAACGTTCAGGCAAAGGTCTACCCATGTATACCCTAGTTAACACTGTTCTATTTCAGAGATATTATTTGGCACTTGGTGATGCTCAAGCATGCTTGCAGTGATAAATTCCAAGAGTTATAAATCTAAGAACAGTACACCCCCAGTACACACAGCAAGAACAGATAAATGCCCACAATGGTGTTGGCTGCATGGTTGACAGTGGAGTCAAGAAGGCTAATGTAGGGGTAGGCAACCTTGGTACTCTAGTAAACTAAAAATCCCATCATGCTTCTGCCTTTGGGAGTCACACCTGTGGCTGTCAGTCTTGCAGTGCCTAAATAGGAATTGTAGTTCCCCAACAGCCTGCGTGCTAAGGTTGCCTACCCATGAGCTAATGGTTTCTTGCTTCTGGCAGGAGGGAGTTCATGGAAATTTCACTGTCACAGAACATTAGATATAAATATTTGGTGGGATACTTGGTATGATTCATCTTGCCAGCATCTTAATATATTAGCCTTTGAAGGACTAACTCTTCAAGAAAGAGCAGTAACATTAAGTTACTTACATATGTCATCGGGATGTAGAACACAAGCTGTTTGTGCACACTGTAATGTACAATAATTAAGCAGTTAATCGTTGTTACAGTATATACCTTTCAGAGTCACACTGATCCAATTTCATTAGAGTCTTGAATTTGATACCACTCAGCAGATGATAAGTGCGGATAGTTTGCAGAACGAGGAGTGTGGCAATTAGTTTCAGAACCTCATCTTTTCCTCTTAAACCTTTAAAAACAAAAGGAAGGGGCATAAAGACTTAAAGCTGAACTCCTGCCAAATATAATGTACACACATTCATACAGATAGGTATTCAAATAAATCAAGTGAGTGGCTCAGCTGTGCTTTTAAGGAGTAGCTACGGCCGGGGGGAGGAGTCGACCGTGATGTCACGAACGGACCGAACCCTCTGACACGGAGCTCTGAACCGTGTGGGTCTATGACAGTGGAGGAGCGCCAGAGCCAGGTCCCAGCTGCAACCACTGCAACCCTGGTAGTTCTCATTAAAATGCCAAGTATCTGCACTGGTACTTGAAAAGTATCTGTGCATCACTAATTACAAGTATTTTTTTAAAGTGTAACCACCTTGCCCTTAGCAAATGTAAATCATTACAAGTATTTTTAAAAAAGTATATCCTTGGCTCTAATAACCGTTTCCTTCTGCCTGCTGTTTGGAGGATCTCTGGCAATAGTGTGGAAGGCTGCACTGATCCGAGTTATCGATGTGTGTACCTCCCAGACAAACCACAAGAAGGTTTCCAGCCAGTGGTTCAGTCTGGGAGAGGGAATAAATATTCAGGATTGACCTGCAGTTGAATGTCTGATCCTCCTAGACCTGCAACCTGAGGAAGGTGACCGTGTACTTGAAGAGTAGCCGGGGTTTGAGGCCTAGTATGTTGAAGCTGGGGATTGAGATACTAGAGAAGAACTTCAGCCTAAATACGGAACTTGAGAAGCTTGGTCCTTGACTGAAGTATGGTAAGTTATCCCCAAGGAGAGTGGTAACCTATAAACTCCTTTGCATCAAAAATAGTCCATCTGTTCACATTGCTCCACTATTGCCGAGGAGCAGACCCTGAAGTGAAATGCTAGCCCACACTACTTCTCTGGGGCCCCTCACATGCCCCTGAGGGCAGGGAAGGGGGAGGGGATGCTACAAACGCATCTAGTGCAAGTACCTACTTATGACTTAGTATGGGCCTCATGCAATCCTCTATACAACAGCACTCAAACTGGGAGAGTAAGACAGCCAATGTGCTGCATGCAAATCTGTTGGCAAGGAACATGCTGAATGGAGAAAAGAGCACAATGAGCAAGTAATTACTTAATCAGTCTGCTTCTGCTCCTTTACCATCCAGTAAGTAGTCTGGGGTGGAGAGAAGACACCACTGTATTCCTTAAAGCCCAATAAAACTTCTAGTTCCTCGGTTCTCAACTGGTGGGCCGTGACCCAAAAGTGGGTCGTGACCCCATGCTCAGTGGGTCACCGCATGTCTTCCACTTGTCTAGTTTTGAAGCTCACCCCATAGAACAGCACCGTCCATTCTTACACCGAGCAGCCATTCAAAAGATGCTGCCCAGAGTGTTGACTTGTCGAGGTGGGGTGGGCTGGGGGTATGGCTGCGAGGGAGCTCCATCCATACGTGCATTGCTTACAGCTCCCTCGCATGTCCTGTAGAGGTGCCTGGACTGGAGCGACATCACATTCTGCCTCCCGGAACCTCTAAAGGGCATGCATAGGAGCTGTACAAGCAATGCACATATGGATGAAGCTTCATCACAGCACAGCAGCCCACACTGCCGTGTGTTCCATTGCAATGCGATTTGGGTCGCGACTTAATGATCAAGGACAAATGTGGGTCCTGAGGTTACACAGGTTGAGAACCACCTGTTCTCATTTAAACCTGTTCTAGTTTAAATGAGCTATATAGATATCAGGCACAATAAAGCAATAGGTGTGCACAACATTATAGTTTATTTTCTTTAGAAAGTAGCCAGAGGGTAGACAAGCCAGACTTCTAGCATGCTATAGGGAAGGACTGTTGCTCTCTGTGTGGAAACGTGGGTCTAGCACCACCTGCTAAGTCAGGGCTGGAGCTCTGCAATCACAAAGTTCTTGTTCCCAGCTCATTGAACCTCTAGTTCTGAAATACCAAGGGGCATTGGTGGACCTCTGCAAAGAGATAACTGCTTCCACACAGACAGCAAAGCACTTTTCTACAGCATGCTGGCAGGGGACAGGCTTTTCTACTCAGGTTGTGGCTGCTTTCTAAAAGCAAGGAACTGTAATACTTAGAACTACTTTTGTTTTAACACACCTGAAATTAGGCTTTAACCATAAGGCTCCACTCGCACATTAGAGTCCTGGTGCGCAGCACATTTTTGTGTGTAAATATGCATTGCACTAGGACAGCCCACTCAAATGAATGTTCAAAAAAATGGATTTGCACTTTTCTTAGCAATAGAGCTCCAGAAAGCACAGTAGTGTGTTATTGTGTGTTGTGGTGTGCTGCAACATATCATGCTCCCTCAATGCATTGGAATGCCATTAAAAATGAATAGCGCTGAAATGCTGTGATGTATGTAACATTCGTTAGCATGCACTGTGGTAACACATGCGTGGTCACAACTGTGTGAATGAGCCCCAAGTATTATCATCCACCAGGTGGATGCTTCCCGGCGGGTGAATGTACATGTAAGTGATTTTTTTTTACTGGGTGGGCGTGCGAGCGAGCAGAATCGCGCCGGGAATGTAAACAGCCGTTACCGAGTACTACATACAAGCGGTCGGCCGGCTCTACAGCTGGCCGATTGCTTGCATGACCCTGCACAGTGCGCCCCCCTTTGTTCCCCCTGCGGTGCCCGGGTCCGAGAACACTGGCACAGTGGCTACTAGTACAGTAGTACTAGTAGGCGGAAGCGATGTATATTACTTCACTTCCACCTTTAGCTGTCATTTCTCTGGCTGCCAGCCAGAGAAGAAGTTGATGAAGCAGATCTCTGCTGCATCAGCTATTTTGGGGGTCCCAAGGTGACATTAGGGTTCTTGGGGACCCCTGATGTCTCCATAAAGAGGACCTGTCATTGTTTTTTTGCTATCACATAGGGGGATTTTTAGCCCCCTATGTGATAGCAATCAAGTGTAAAAAAAAAAACACCCAAAAAAGTATCGAGTCCCCCGCATGCACGCACATAAACGTAAATACGCATCGGGTGTGCCTACTTGTGAAAACAACGATTACACCGCACATGTTACATATGGCTGTGAACGTTAAGAGTGTGAGCAATAATTCTAGGGCCATTAATCACTGATAACACTAAATTGATGCTGTAGCCAGAGAGTAAGCTGCTGTAGCATGATCTGTGCTTCATCAGTTTCAGTGGGGTCTATATACCCCACTGAAACTGATATGGATATGGGATCTAATAGACACCTGATGTCTACATAAAGGGGACCGGTCACTTACTCTGTGCTATCACATAGGGGGCGTGTTACCCCTATGTGATAGCAATAAAGTCAAGTTAAAGTTCCAAAAATTATAGTGAACTATAAAAAATGTTTTAAAGCCCTTAACGTACACGCACATAAAAAGGCACAAACATGTGTCCAGTGTGCCTACATGGGAAAGCAACAAATGCACCACACATGTTACATATTGCCTATGGTCAATTTTGAGTACTGTCGTTTTTGCCATTTCACGGGCGTGCATAATTTAAGGTTTAACCTGTTTGGTTTTTATTTGCACAATTCCAACATTTTATATTTTACCAAACAGCTGTGTATCATATTATATTTGTGTGAACAAAAAAAAATCATTTTAGTGTATTTGATCGATTTGATAAACATTTCTGCTAATATCAAATTTAGATTCGACATGTGTGTGCAACATTTAGAAAATTGCTTTTGATGCGAAGTGATTAAAATGTGCAAAAACTGGTGCAGGTATAAAGTGCAGGCGCGTATGTGGACCTGCAGCTACCTGCAACAGCCTCATGTCGTAGATGAATCCCAGACGGCTATGTCAGCAAACCTCTAACACTTCCAGGTAAAGTTACCACTTGCAGCAAAGCCCTACCCTCCCACATTGCTATTGGGAGCCGTACTGAAGGTATGTAGGTTGGAAGGGATGAGCAAGCTTCCAAAGCTCGTCAGAACTGGACAAAAAATTAAACTGTGGCGGAGGGTCTGGAACATTACCTGGAATTTGTGCACCCTTAGGTCCCTGTACTTTATATCTGCAGCAGTTTTTTCTTTTACATGTGAAGCAAAATTAGATTGTTGTAAACTGCACTTAGACAATGTAGACACAAAATAGAGAAATCAGCAGTAGAGGAAAGTCTGGTTTGACACCTACTATTCAAAGTAGTATTAAACTCTCAAAAGTTTATCAATATTGAATCCAGATCAAATGAATATACATTGCCCAGCAAAGCATTGCTTTACATGTTTTGCCCAAACACTTACAATCATCATGTTTCTGAACAGCTGCTTCCAATTATCTCAGCTCAGCTTCCGTGAACTTCCTGTCCAGTACAAGATCACAAAGGACAGTGCAGACTCCAGCAACTGTTCCTCTACAAGCTTGGAAAAGCGAGGAGGGAGGGCCGGGAAGGGGGAGGGGAGTAACTTGATTTGCTGTGTTTGTGGAGACACACACAGCTTACTATCACACACAAGGGTCGCTCCATAGAACCCTGTTTGAGAAAGGAGTCACTCTAAAACAGGAAGTCAGGACCAGTGCTTAGGGGACCAGCGGATTCTGCAGGAAACCTAAACTTTTAAACATCAAGGGGTAGCATTCATCGGAATTGATTTCATCAGCATTTGGAAAAGCTTAAAGTCCTTTTGACTTTAACATCACTTTAAATATTTGACTTCTTTGCAGAAGGCTATAAGGAGTTAACATTTTTTGTAAGATATATTTAGAGCAGTTTAGTTTATTTCATATAGTGTGCTCTTTATTTGTGTTTTTTTGTGTATTTTCTTTCACAATAATTTTATTAAAAAGAATAACAACAATACAGGTAAAAAAGGACAATATCCAAACAAGATATCAAAAATGATACAGGAGAAAGTTAGGTAATACAAAACTTAGTTACGCAGTTATAACATTCCAGTCGAAAGTAACAAATAGTGCATTGTAAAAATGTACAAACAGTCCCACAAATGGGAATTGGCATTAAATAATCTATAACGCCACACAATGAAAAGGAGGTAAAAACAAGGAGGGGAGAGACAAATGCCTCTCTCCAAAGTATCCTGCAACCACCTAAAAAAAAGTCTGATTAAGAGGCAGAAAAAAAAAGGACTTATCCAGCCATCATGATAAAAAAAATCCCCATAGGGAAAAAGGAGAGGAGGCGAGTGTAGATGACATCGAGAGACAGATAAAAGGAAGAGAACAAACATAATAATAAAACAGCGAAAAAAAAGAGAAGGAGGGAAAAGGGGAGAATATGAGGGTAGGAATATGTCCTCCTCCACACGCACTCATAAACTGAAAACCATAGTCAAAGAGACAAAAGGGGGTAACAAGGTCCCCCAGGGTGCTTCTGCTCCAGCCAGGGAGTCTGTGTTCAAGAACTTTGCATTGTTTTTTATTGTTATTATATATTTTATTGTTATTTGTGTACTGTCATTTTACATTTTTTGTTTTACCAACAAACCACCTTAACGTCACCTTTCCTACTGACCCCAATGCATTTCACGACAATTTACATTTTCATAGAAATTTCACTCATCAGTAATCCAAAGCATATTTAGGAGTGAGAAAATGTACAAAATCACTTAAAGGCTTAGTTCACCTTTCTGACCATGTTTCAAGTTACACCCATACTCAGGGTGAAACATGGTCACAATGGCATTCTTCCCACCCCCTACTTACCTGCATTGTGAGGTGAGAAATAATCTGCAGGAGCCAGAGCATTGCACCCGCAATCCACTGATCTTGGTTGCAATGCTTTACTGGCTCCAATGCAAAAAGTAATAATAAATGCACAATGTTTTTTTTAAAGAAGTGTGCATTAATCATAATTTTCCAAAAAGTGGACTTTGCATTTAACATCATCTTAGCAGTGGGCCTATACTGTGGGAGAGAATGTTGTAGGGAAGGTAAGCAGGGGCAGTTTGTTACAATGAACCCCAGGAAAGTTTTTGGGTGAATATTGTTGGGTTGACTTGTACACTGTCTGAATGTGTTGTATGCATTATGTGCATTTTAAAACAGGTTTACTGTGTGTACTTCATGTTTAAGAAAAAGTAGCCCTTATATTACAACATACAATGCACAATGTTAATACTTTGTTAGAAGCATAAACCCAACACTATACACTTCAAGTGGAAGTATTGTTCAGAACCTACCTAGAGAAGAGATGCCTTTTCCAGTAAGAAAAGTGTCACAAAAATATTTGACGTCAATATTTAACAATTTTCCGAGCATTGGAGTCAGCATCCAGTATCCTTCCTAGAGGGCAGAAACAGTGTTAGAATGGTTAACTAGGCAGAGGCACCTATAGCAGTGGCATCTATAGTATGTGCCCTGGGACTCCAGGCCATCCAGTCTTGGCTGGTACACTGAAAAAATTGCAACTATGCATGCCCATCACAAGACCATGCCTACTGGGCAGGGCAGAGATTCTCACATCATCGTCATTGTTTTCCCCCTGTGATAAACTGGCATCAGGTCTGTTTTAACAGAGTGTGTGTTGTGCTTCTTAACTTGTCATGTCTAAGAAACACCTTCAGGCTGAGCAAGCCTGCTTAGATTAGACAGTCATATTGTGCCGGCACATTCAACCACCCTCAGGTGCCTATGGACAGCCTAACAGGCAACCCTTTCAGAACCCTAGCAATGATCCTGGCACACTGTCGGTCCACAGGCAATAATGACCCACTAGGCTAGGATGTGGTTTTACATGCTGTCAGTTTCAATGTAAACAAAGCAGAAGACGTTTCCCAAATGAAAGATATGTGGCAGCTGGGAATGCTATGTAGGTGACAACAGTATCCTGCTTAATGCTGAGCAGGAGCATCAATGCAGATACATTTTAGTTTAAAATGGTTTTACAATTCTTTGTTTCTTATGTAGGGATGTAGTATTTTTCCAAATTTCTCCTGTGTGCAGTGATTATTCTCAGTCACCTCCTGTGTTGAGTGTTCTCCAGCAGGGTATGCTAGAGATAACACTTCATATTAAGGATGTTTAATAACTGGCCAATCAGCAGGCCTGGGGTGCTGGAATAGCTATAACATATCTGAGACACATGTTGGCACATGTTCTTCCCTCCAGGGTTTTTCCCCATAGAGGATGTATCTGTAATTCACCAATTTAGGCCCCAGGCCTGAGAGCCCAGGGGTATGGGTTGCTGTGGGGATCTCCTATCTTGGGAGGTGTCCCCAAGTTACTGGCTGCTATGGAGTGCTACAGGCTTTGAGGAAGCACAGCTGCACTTGTCCCCCACAGGGATGGTGAGTGACTGAGTCTGGAGAAGTAACACAGGAACCTTCCTTTTGCTGTCCTGCCTTGATCTCTAAAACTGAGAATACACTAGACTCTCATTTACAAGGAGCAAATTTACAAGATATGTGTCCAGCCAGTAAAGCCTTATGAAAGAGGGTCCTAAAAAAGATAGACGACCATGCAGAAGACTAAAGGACTGTACTTTGATATAAATAAACAAGTATCCTGCGCTCCCTTATCCTCCTTCCTACTTAAAGCCATGCACGTGCAATTAAACTATCTAAACTATATACCAAGTGACTGACGCTCATCACTCTTTATATTTAATGATCAGAGTTGCAGCTTCAGTGGAATATACCTAGGGATAAGGTCATTCTCATCTTTGGGTCCCACTTAAATTACACAAGACCCAGCTGAGTGGTGGAGGCACTGTCATTATAGATATATTCAAGTCCCATGCTCCCACTTTGCAGAGGCTCAAGATCTTCTAGTTACCTAGGGGAGGGCAGGGGTAGCTGATTGGAAAGGGTCACATGACCCCCCACCCCCCTAATACAGGGCTACACTCGTAGTCAATTTTTTATTTAATATAAATACTAGTGTAGCGCCCTCTAAAATGTCGCTATTCAATTTAGAGATACCTGGACTGTAACCAGTCTAGATACTGATCATACAGAGCTCTGCACTCTATAGGTGTCCCTGAATCTGCTGGATCGATTGCTCCTCCTGTTGCTGAGGAAAAGGGAGCCTTGGCATACAGTGAGGGAGGATCCACCCTCAGGTTATGACTATGCACCTGACCCTAGCCAATCCCTGAGTAGGATGACTCAGAGGCATGGTTGAGGGCAGGTAATAAAAGGTCTGGGGACATTGTGGAGAGCTCTCTTCCCCTGGGGGCCTCGCCCTGGGAGGACTGTGTGTGATGCAGGAGGCTGGCCTGGGCCTCAGCACATGGCAGGTGCTGAGGGGCCTGGAGGCATAGGATACACTGATACTTTGCTGGGCCCATACACGTGGCAGGTGATGGGTGCCTTGTTCTGAGGGGATGCTGCCACTGGACTTGAGTGCTCGTTGGCAGTTGCAGATGCTGAGGGCACAGAGATTCCAGATCCTGTTGCTAAGGAAAATACCTGATGGAAGCTGGGTCGGGGAGGAGTCCGCTTGTTGAGGGGTACCGCAGAGGAGCTGGTGCGAGCGTCCGTCTGGGACCCACAAGGGAGATCCCACACCCTATTCCAGGTATCAGTTCACAGTACTACTACTACCACTATTGGTCCCTGGGACCAGAACGCAGTGATTTTCGGCCTTAACGGTTGCTAGGGGAGAAAGCTGTCCTCAGAAGATTCCAATGGCATCCTACAGACCCTAAACCCTCTCTCTCCTATTGATGTTGCAAATAAATACCCTAAAAAGACCCTAAGACTCGAGCTGTTCTGTCCGTGAGTGTCGGTGTGCTGTTGCTGATCAAAGGGGACCGGTAGCTGGAACCAACAGGTAGGAGAACCTATTTCAATATTCAGCGGCTCCTTCGGGGGTGAGCGCTACACTAGTTTGTGAAAAGAATCAGTAAGAAAGTAAGAGGGTGACATTACCTGGCTCTGTAGAGGAGAGAAGGATGACCAGGAGAGTTCAGCTAATTCTGATCGCTAGAATACACACAAAATATACAATATTAAGAATTTAGGAAACGGTCCTTAAACAGGGAAATGTTGATAAGCAAGACTAGATGGGTGAATCCATTGTTTAAAAGGGAGGCTATAATATAGTTTCAGTGAGTGCACATTGAGAGATTATTATACCAAATATTTACCTTGAAGTATTTACATAAGCTTAACATTTTTACATGGTGACGTTATTTATTATTCTAATTGTATTTCATACACATATCTGTTAATTCTCCTTGCAGACAATGCAGTCAGCATACCTGCTGTACAACAAGGAAAAATTCAGCTTCTTAGGGCTCAGTCACACTAGATGCAGTGCGTTCCAGCCCAATTTTGGCCGGAACGCACTGCCTCGCATTGCGGCCAGCTCACTTTTTAGTGGGATGGGAGGGGGCGTGGCAGGCCATTCAAGTGCATGGCGCCGTAGCCACACCCTCCGGCCGCAATGCGATCCGCCGCACGGGATCGCAAGGCACATAAGTGCCTGCGGTCCGGTCCTGTGCGGTGCGATAAAAATAGTGCTTGTAGCATTTTGATCGCACCGCACAGGATCGGACCGCCGGAACGCACTGCATCTAGTGTGACTGAGCCCTTAATGATAAGCCAGTACTCTTAAACAGTATGAATGAAGCCTGTAGTCTTATGAGGTAAGATTCCCACCCCACCGTGCCAGTAATAAAGTATTACATTTACGTGTCACGTGTAGGACAGTCACGTGTAGTACTAGAACAAGATGAATCTGCAAATAATATGAAAAAATAAACCCAATAATATGATTTTTAATATTTTCTTCACAGTCATGTGGTCACTCTCTCCACTTTTTTTCTTAGCTGGGCACGGGCTGAGGGAGAGTACAAATATCACAGGAGCGTTATGTCTGCTGATGTAAGAAGCAATTTTTCAGTCAGCCAGATCCACTGTCAGTCACAACAGTACTGCAAGGCAAAGAGTCATGTGGTGTTGAAAATGGCAGTATGTGCTGGCACAATGTATGTCGGCAAGTACTTTTGTAGTTCATCTTTATCTCCAAAGGGTGACAACACTCTGCTATATCGGAGTCAGTGCAGTCAGCCTTGTCACCATTAAAAAAATGGCATTGTGTTTTCCTCCACCCCAGGTCCTCTCACACCCCTCCGCTCCAACCCGGCCTTCCCCCCGGGCCAATGTGCATCCTTCCTACGCCGCTGGCCCACCGACACTCCCCTGACGGCTCAACTATTCTTTGACCGACAGAGCAATTTTCGCACTCTCGCAGAGTGCGAAAGAACCCGTCCTCTCCCATACCACTGTGGTCCTATTTCCAAATTCGACACTACCTCAACTCTCACTCGCATAAAGGACTCTTCTCCCGCACTTTAACTCCATTTGAAAAGCTATGCACATCCGAACAGAAAGTGACACATGCAATTTCATCCTTATACTCCCTCCTGAATGATTCCTCTACCCTCCCACCGACACACTCCATGAGGGCATGGGAACGTGATCTCTCCACATCCTTCACACAACAGGAGTGGGAACGAATGAATTCCCTACTTCTAGGAAGCTCCATGAATGTTCAAGTACAGGAAACTAACTATAAAGTTCGCTCACGCTGGTACAAAACCCCGGCCCTACTCCACCGCATATACCCAGATGCCCCTGACCGGTGCTGGCGTTGCAGCAGAGAAGTGGGCTCTCTATTGCACATTTGGTGGTCGTGCCCAATGATCTCGCCCTTTTGGACGTCGGTCCACACCCTGATTAAAACCATAACCGGAGTCTCGATGGAATTCTCCCCAGCTAGCCTCATATTATATCATTTCGATGACACACTCCATGTTTCTAAAAAATCCCTCTCAATTCACCTACTGAATGCGGCAAAAACGGTGATTCCTAGACACTTTAAATCACCATCCCCACCAACGATTCGGGAGTGGCTCTCCCGAGTAGAGACAGTAGCGGCCATTGAGGAACTTATCCACTCTGGCAGAGATGACATGTCCAAGTATCTTAAAACCTGGACGTTGTGGCATTTATTCCGTGATTCAGAGGCATGTAAGGATTTAAGACAGTAACACTACTCCTATCTACTCTGTTCTATGTAGTGCCTTCCTCCTTTCCATCTCTCCCTACTTATGGGTCGGACGGGACCCCTTCCCACTCCTTGTCTTCTCCCCCCACCTTCCTCCCTTCCCCCTATTCTTTCCTCTACCCACACTTCCAGACCTGCTTCCTCCTTTCCCACAACTGCCCCCCCTGATCTCCAAACCCACCTGGCAATGACAGCATCTCATAAACAGTGGTTGCCCCTGTTATCCAAACCAGATCGGACTAATAACAAACAACCTCTGGATAGTGCGACAGCTAAACCCTCCTTGTTATAAGCCTTTTCAAATGTTTAGGGATCATATTACTCCCACAGTGTTAGTGGGATCTGTTAATTCTTTGGCCCACCCAATTGAAATATACATGTATTTCTTTCCATCCTACTTTGTGAATTAAGGTGACACCAGTAAAATGGAATCTGAGCTCCCATGTTGGATCCCACTCAACCAATGCTATTTTCTTTCGGTTTATTGCTCTGTAACACAGTTTTGGATATCACTTGGCTGTTTGTGACTATTGGTTTAATGCCTATGTACCTGTCATTGTCTAGGCTCTGAACAATACAAATTTTACTTGTGGAAAAAAAAAAAAAAAATGGCATTGTGGCTGTAAGAAAAAGTAGGGTCAATAGGTAAAGGCTGTGACACACTGCATGTGAAGCCGTGGTGTTCGGATCTTCGCGTGCAGTGTGTCTTCCAATTCTCTCTCTTGTGAGTCACCATGCAAGAGTTCGCATAGCTGAGCATGCCGAGATGAAAAATGTAATCTTCAGCCAATCGGCTCGCACGTATAAACCCACGTGTTAGGACACAAACTCCATTGAGTTCATACGCAGGAGCCGTTTGGCTGAAGATGAAGTGTTTCATCTTGCAGTGCTCAGCTTCTCCAACTCTTGCACAATGCATGTGAATGTCCGCGCCTCACTGCTGCGCTTGCAATGTGTCATGGGCTTCATATTACATCGTTTGCATTTAGGAAAAAAAGGCTGTGATTCACTTGCTTAAAGTACCATGCCCTGCGATATATACATTTTTAGGTTTACCTACATTTTAATTACTTGAATTACAATTCTCAGTTTTTCCTGTTTCAGGTATTCTCAATGCCAGGTAACTCTGGCATCTGTTTATCATTCTTTTTGGCCACTTACTGAGTACGACCACACTGAAGGCTGTGCAGTAGCTTCTGGGGCAGCAACTTTACACTGCAGAATGCTGGGTTCAGTTCCCAGAGCAGATGTTATCTGCAGAAACGTATGCAGCATGTTCTACCCATGCTTCTGTGATGTTTTTTTTCCTGGATTGTTTGGTTTCTACCTAATCTGCTTAAGAGGAAGATCAGAGATGGCCAATCTTTCCTTTACAAACATCACATGACCAATGATTTGGTGTTGGGTCTGACCTCCAAAGAATACCAGAGCATCATGTTCTGCAGCATAGAAGTGATCCAGTATTTCTTTTTACTGTTACCACTTTCAAGAGCAGGATAGGGGTGTGTAATATATGATGACAGGTTCACTACAAAGCGAAGTTGTACATCCCACACTTCTACCCATCTCATCAAACTGTGTAATAAAGCAATGAATCCCATTTGCTTGCCTTGAGCAAGACAAAACGCTCAAGTCTTGTCTATGGCCCCTTTTCACACCTGAGCATTTTGCTGCAAGCAGAAAAACGTCTGTCATTGTAAAAAGTACATTAACAATTTTTTGGTCCCATAGACTTCGATGGGAAATGTTGTGCAGCAAAACACGCAACAACATGCTCAGGTGTAAAAAGGGACCATAGAAATGAATGGGATTCCTTGTCTTGAGCATTTTGTCACACTTACCTTTTAGTGACAAAATGCTGAGGTGTGAATGGAACCTAAAGTCTGTTCAGGTCTGGAAGCTTGTTTTCATTTGTAGGGCTTACTGACAATTTCCACTTACTTTGGGTCAGCCACAGAGAATAATGCTTGTCCTCAGTGTATGGAGTGAACATCATTTATCCTCTAAATGCTGCCCTTTACCCTCAGTGGCTGAGCTGCTACATGCGCAATGGAAATGTAATGAGGAGGCAGCTCTGCTTCCTCTTTTTTCCAGTACTGGGCAGTCCTCAGTGATGCACAGAGAGGCACTGGTGTGATATCTTATGAAATGCTCTCTGCATCATTTGTATAAATAAATTATAGTATGTAAGTATAGTAATGCCTTCCCTTAGGGGTGGGTGCTTGACACACTGCACTCACAGGATTTCCTCAGTCTTCCAAGTTAAATGACTCCAGGAATGGCAAAAAGCCATCTAAAGACAAAAAGCACTGAGGATGTATATGACTGAGAAATCACTTATTTTATATGACAATACAAGTCTCTATTCCCAACATTGCTCAGTAATGTAAAGAATAGTAACTTGTATTCCCATATAAACGATTGCTCTGCCTCAGTGCCAAACAATCAGCAGCAAGCAGGGTCACTCACTAACTCACACAGAAGTTGCGTATTCCACATATCTCTGGCAGGCTTTCTCACACGCCGGCCATCTCCCCCATCTCCTTCTCCTCAGCTCAGGAGAAGGAGGCGGCGAAGCCTGGCGTAGGCGGTGCCCACAGCGCCCATGGAGGAGGCGGGGCTTGACGGTGGAGGAGGCTGACAGCGGAACAGGGCTGACAGGTAAGAGGTGTGCAAGGGTGTGACCAGCCCACCTGAGACCCTGCAGAGCCCACCATAGAGAGTCTAAGGTGGGCTCTGCAAGGGACGTAACTAGAAATCACAGGACCCCATACAAAATGTTGCTATGGGGCCCTGTGATTTCTAGTTACACCCCTGCCTAGAGTGTCTACTTTCACAAATGGTAGGCCTGTATAGGGTAAAATTCCCCAAAAGGAGACAAAGACCCATCCAATCCATCTATGAAAATTCACACCTGAAAAGCTAAAAATGGCCAGGCTTCTTATTTGGCACTGGACAAAACATTGTCCATGGCATACATTGGGAGTGTTTTACTCAAATTATGTAGCTGAGCAGAATGTGGTGGGTTTTTTCATAGTGGCACACATCAGAATTACAAAATACCCAGAAATTAATACAGAGAATGTATTTAGGAAAAAAATG